TCCCTTAGCCTGTACTGGAGCTTTCCAAGGACTATTGTTAATTGCCTGTAACTAAATGATTGCTGGGGCCCTTAAATGCAACTCTTTGGCACTTGTTCATTTGTTGTTTTTAACCAAATGCCAGTTTTCCTTAGGTTTTGCCTAGCAATTTTGCTTTTACAATTTTCAATATTCAGTCTCAGTCCCTTAAAGGGGGCAGAGTCTATCATTTTAACAAAATAACACAAAGGCTAAACAGATTTTAAAAGGTCTGCACTTTCTCCTTCGGTCCTCAGATGTTGAATTGTGCTGAAATGGAATCTTTTTATTTTTTAAATGCTGCCACTCCAGGCAACTTGAACTAGAGCTGAAAGGCAGATCCCATTTCAAAGGGAAAATGACATTTGCTGGGCCAACACCATTTACATTGTAAAGATAAAATACAGCAGTGGGCCCAAATGATTTCTCTTAACTGTGACAGAATTTAATCCTTAGTAATTTTGTATAACCCAAAGGATATGCAATAATATGGTAGCACATGTATTAATGAATCTGTCTGGCTTGGAGCAAAAGAATACAAAGGCTAAATCTAATGCACCATTTTCTTTGAGAGAGTTTACATATGCTATATAAACCAGTGTGACTTACTTAAATGGAAAAAAATTTAACTTGCATACATGTATAATGTGTAGGCATGTGTATTACACTCCTGCATAGAAATAATGTAGTAACTGAGGAGCAGGCACTGTACACCATGGGGAAATACACATTTCCATCTTGTTCCTGACCTCTTTATAAGGACATTATGAGAACACTATGCTTCTGCAATGTAATACTACAGAAGTCCCTGGGGGAAAGTCTGCGACGCTCTCAGGATCTCAGGATAAATTAGCTCCTTGTAAATTCTGTTTCTTTAGACTCGTTTTTGGTATTTCTATTATTAGTAAACGACTATCTATGGCCCAGAAGAATTATTCTTGCTTATTGCTCATTCTCTAAGCATATATAACTTTTCATATGTTTGTACTCTAAAGGAGTTTTTCATGTGACACAAGACTGTTTCTGTAATTGCTAAGCTACATCAACCCTGCTCTCTTTTTCTTATTATATTTTAAACAACACTATTGATTGGCTATGTAGAGTATTCTAAGAAATGTGTATCATTTTTCAAATGGCTCGTGACATCTAGCAATGGGAGTAACTCCTATTTGGGTAATTGCTTTGCTAAAAATAAGAAGGACTTATTTTCATACAATTTTTCTCTAATTTGCATGTATTCAATTGCTCAAAATTTAAAAAGTATATAGAGACCAGTATTATAAATACCATCTGGAGAAAATGAGAGTTCTGTTGATTGGATTGATCAGATTATGTTTCAGGCAAAGGTTTTTTGTTATTTCCAAAGCTCCTTGAGTATATATGGGCACTTAAGACATGCCACATGCCCAGCCCCTGTGCAGTGCCTCCAGATGCAAAGAATGTGCTTGGGGACACCATAAAAGAATCATTCTCTGCCTGGGCGCTTATCTAGAGCAGAGCAGCTTTCCCGACTCCCAGCTTTCTTCCCACACTTCTCCCCACATAGGCCTTTGGTTAGAACTTAAGTTTTTCTTAAAAGAAATCAAAATGTTAAAGAATTGAAATATGATTAACATAATATAAAACATGGAGCTCTAAGTGTTTGGCTAAATGAGTTCTGACAAATATAAACACTTCTGTATCCACACCAAAACCTATTTCCTTTACCCCAGACAGTTTCCTCTTGCTCCATTCCAATAAGTTTCCCTTCACTCATCACCAATGAATCCATTTCCTGATTTATGTCACTATGGATTATGTTGGTCTGTTCTTCAGCATAATTTAAATAGAATCATACAGTAGGTATTATTATGTGTCTGACTTCCTTTTTCTAACATAATTTTGTAAGAGTCATGCATGTTTTATGTATCAGTAGTTTATTACTTTTATCACTGAGTATATCCTATCATATGAACATACAATCATTTGTTCATCATTTCCCGTTAATGGACATTTAAGTTGTCTCCATTTGTGGCTGCTGTGAATAAATAAGACTATTCTGAGCATTCTCATCCAACTCTTCTTGCAGATATCCGCTTATATTTCTCTTGGACAAATACCTAGGAGTGGAATTGCTATTGATATGGTAGATTTATATTTAATTTTATTAGAAATTACCCCAAAGTTTACAATGTGGTAATATCATTGGGTACTGTTACTAGCAATGTTTGGGAGTGGAAGCTAAGTGTTCTTGATTATTTTTCCGTTTCTTTTTTTGTACAAGAAATTTTTGAGTGGTAAATTCATAGTGTTTAATATACTAAATTAGAAAATCTTAAAAGAAGCCATAGTCGAACTGCTTATTTCTCACATTATATCCAGTGTATTTTAAATCACGTCTTCCTGATTTATAAATCACCCTGTGGGCATAAGTTAGAATTTTACACAGGCTTCTCTGTATGGTGGAGTTTGTTATCTTGAGTGAACAAGACCCAGCGTATCCCCACAGGATTAGCCGCTCACCCTTTCTGTTCATATAGTAGGGGGAAAACATTATACTGAAGAACTTTTTGTATTTTGTTCCTGATATTTTTGTAGTGCTGTCTTGTGTGGTTCCTCACAATGTTAATCAGATAAGCTGCTGGAGGTATTTTGTAGTGTTTCACACTTCATATTAATTTACTTAGATTCTAAAAGATTTGATCTCACTTTATTTTTTATTTCTTAAATGCATACGGTTCAATCATTTTAAATAATATTTTCTTCAATTTCCCATTTAATTTTAATAATTACAGAAAAATACACTTGATTAAACAGTAGTTAATGTGTTATTTATTAAACTGTAGAATGAGAAGTCAAGGGCTAGGTAATAGGAAATATGAATGAGGATTTTGTTTTGTTTTGTTTTTTGTTTTTTGAGACAGAGTCTCGCTCTGTTGCCCAGGCTGGAGTGCAGTGGTGCGATCTCAGCTGACTGCAACCTCCACCTCCTGAGTTCAAGTGATTCTCCTGTCTCAGCCTCCCAAGTAGCTGGGATTACAGGCACCCGCCATCATGCCCAGCTAATTTTTGTATTTTTAGTAGAGACAGAGTTTCGCCATGTTGGCCAGGCTGGTCTCAAACTCCTGACTTCAGGTGATCTGCCTGCCTTGGCCTCCCAAAGTGCTGGGATTACATGTGTGCCCAGCCGGAGGATTTTTTTTTCTGTAATTATTACAGGAAAAGTGACATCACATGCAAACACACACATACACAATGTTCTTGTGAGAAAATGATGGCCATGCTTTTCAGATTGTTTGTCACTCAAACTACACCAGTCCCATCATGATTTCACCCCATTTGTGAGAACTCAGGACTGATCTTTTTTTTTTTTTTTCTCTCTTTTTTGAGACGGAGTCTCGCTCTGTTGCCCAGGCTGGAGTGCAGTGGCCAGATCTCGGCTCACTGCAAGCTCCGCCTCCCGGGTTCCCGCCATTCTCCTGCCTCAGCCTCCGGAGTAGCTGGGACTACAGGCGCTCGCCACCTCACCCGGCTAGTTTTTTGTATTTTTTAGTAGAGACGGGGTTTCACCTTGTTAGCCAGGATGGTCTCGATCTCCTGACCTCGTGATCCACCCGTCTCGGCCTCCCAAAGTGCTGGGATTACAGGCTTGAGCCACCGCGCCCGGCCAGGACTGATCTTATAACCTGAGGGTACTTGTTACCGGCCAAACCATGGATTATTTTAAAATTCTCAGTCTAAGCTTACTTACATTGACTGTGTTATGAAATTAGATAACTTACTGGTGGATTCTGAATTACAGAATCAAGAACAACATTATTTTACAGCTCTGATTTCAGAAATGTTTGTATTTAATTGTAATTAAGGAAACTAGTACTTTTCAAGGTAGTTGTCAACTGCAGGGAACAACGGCTATCCATCAGTGACAACATTTGGGCTATGATGATCAGGACAACACTTAGTTAAAGTGAGTTTCAAAAATCTGTGCATGATGGCTTACTATTTAAATACCGGTATCCTTATTTTTGTTACAATGTCCATAGTTCTAAAGAAGGAAAAAATAACAAAATATTTTATCTCCAAGTTTTCCTGGTAAGTTTTGATCTAAGGTAGATATTCAATAGAAAAAGGAGGATTTGTATACAGTGAGTGTCAAGAAAATTCCTTTTTTGGATAGAACGTAATAACATGCCTGGTAAAAGGGGAAGCCAAAATTTTAACAAGTAAATGGTTGAATGAAAATAAAACACCACCAACATATTCATATACTGTCCCATCCACTAGGAGGCCTACTTCTTACACCCAAAAAAGCATTCAGCCTCCAAGATTATGGTAGACCACCTTCGTATCACTCTATTCAGGAAGATACAACACAGGAGCCATTGCTCCTGGCAGGAGTCAGCAGACAGCATTCATTAGATAGTCTTCCCAACATTCTATGCAATAATCCACAGTGCTCTCCTGGAACTGTGTTGTTTGACCTGTCACCTTTCTTTGGCCCCCAACCCACAGGTGACAGCTCAAGTGAGAGGGATCAAGATTCTCATTGGGAAAGGCCAAAAGTCATGCTAGCTTAAAAGCTTCATATCCACAGGAGTCAGTATTTCTTTTATCAACCCCATAAGCATAGCTTCCAGAATCTCCACAAGGGATACATTTATATAAGAGAAGTATGGCACTCTGGTGAACCCATTATTATAGTTTGCAATCGGATGTTTACAGTTCTCTTAGTCCAAATGCAAGCTACCAACCAAGGTTCATTTTTACCACAAGCAATGTTGCTTAGCAACATAGTTATCACATACCACCTTATCTAGTTACCAAGGAAACAGAGCTAAAAAGTTATCGAAAGGTCAAATTCTCATGCGAAAAGGAAAGGGGTTGTGTTAACCCATTACCCACATCTCATCTCGTGCAGGAAAATGTGAAATCAAATTGAATTGAATTTGTGATTTTGGATGTGAATACTATATAATTCCCCATTGTGATTTTTTTCTTTCTAGAGCTAATGTACACAGTGGAACTTGCTGGAGGGCTTGGTGCTATTCTCTTGCTGCTTGTATGTTTGGTGACCATCTACAAGTGTTACAAGATAGAAATCATGCTCTTCTACAGGAATCATTTTGGAGCTGAAGAGCTGGATGGAGGTAGGATGTTACCTCTTTTATTGTTCTTTCTGAATATTCTAGTTTCTTTCTTGTCTTTGTTTTATTAAGGGGAAAAAAGTCACCTGCATAATCAATGGCAGCAGCTCTTATATTCTTTCAATGCACAGTTTGTAAATTTCTCTTTTGTAAGGAAATGTATGTGTGATGCTTTAGAGCCAATACTGTAGGTATTTTTCTCTGAAAGTTGTAAAGCAACACCTACCCATTTTAGAATTGTATTCCAAACAGCACTTACAAATTACAAACACTGATTGCAATGCCATCAGAGCGTTCATTTTCTCTCACCTTGTAATCAGGACTGAAAGGCCAGTTTTACTTTTTTTTTAGGTAAGGAGTGTCTCTTTTAATTGTGTTTTCTAGCCCAGTAGTTTGAAGTGAATCTCAATTTGTTCCTGTTTAGACAGATCCGTTATAATAAACTGTACTGAGTATTTTAAATTCATCCAGCAGTCTTTTCAATCTTGTTTATTTAGCTATATTTAGATAGGTTAATTTGTATTCCGAGTGTGTACCAACAGAAAAATGCACAAGCACATTGATTTCATAATAATGCATCTCATATTTTTACTGTAAGTACACAAATAAATATTGTTTTGTGGAAATCATAATTAGTATTTGCTTCTGGTCACCAATGAATACGTGTGCAATCTAAGAGGAAAATGGAGTCCCTAAAATTCAGCTCCCTAAACTGCATATTAGACTTAGTTTATTTTCCTTTTTGGTCATTTTTTAAAAACATAAGATAAACCAGCAATGTGGGAAACATATGCAAACTGACAATACAGATGACAAAGGTTTCTTCATCTTTTTTTTTTTTTTTTTTTTGAGATGGAGTTTCACTCTTGTTGCCCAAGCTGGAGTGCAATGGTGCGATCTGAGCTCACTGCAACCTCCACCTCCCGGGTTCAGGCGATTCTCCTGCCTCAACCTCCTGAGTAGCTGGGATTACAAGCGCCCGCCATCACGCCCAGCTAATTTTTTGTAGTTTTAGTAGAGACCAACAAGCTGGTCTTGAACCCCTGACCTCAGGTGATCCACCCGTCTTGGCCTCCCAAAGTGCTGAGATTACAGGCATGAGCCACCGCACCCGGTCTCATCATATTTATATACGGTTTTTTTCAGTGATTTTCAGTTTTGCAGTAAATGGTACCAAGGAAAATGAGGCAATTGCCTATGTTGCCACATTTCCAGGGTCCTCTGGAATAATAAATCTACAAGCAAAACTGTAGTCTTGCAGGTTTGTAAAGAGAAGTGGTTTATTCAGAATGCCTAACACTCCTCTTGGTTTACCCTTCTCTCCTTCCCATTAGGGTGAAGGCTGAGCTGCAGCAAAACCAGTTTTTTTTCTTAAGTTTTAAATTACCGGTTTGCCTATTTGTTTCTAACTTTCTTGCCTATTGATACAAATTATTATTATTATTTTTATTGCTGCTGCTGCTTTAAAGAAATATAAGGACTTTAAAGAAATATAAGGACTTTGCCATTGTCGAAACTACTGTTGAATGAGTACCAAGCATAGTGCTAGGCATTCTTAAAGTCATTCTTGCTAAGCCTCACAAACATCCTGAGGTCAATATTGTAATCTCCATTGTACTGATGAGGCAACTGAGACTTTCAGAGGTTAAATAACTTACTCAAGAAGATAACACAAATACTGTAAGTGGCCAAGATGGGATTTGAAAATAAGTCTATTCCCAAAGCCTTTATCTTATCGGACACTCTCTATTATTTTTATTTTTTTTAATTTAGTATGTTCAGTATAATCTAAAGATCTGCTGTTGTTTGCACAATGCGCACAGTGCATGGTATTTGAAAAAATACATTACCTAAACAATCTCCCCTTTTCTATTAGCCCTATTTTGAATATGTTTATTTTGTGTTCTGAATGATATGAATGATGTTACCAAACCATCAGTTTCTAGGGTAGTAATCTATCATTTTCTGAATGTAGAAAATTCTGGAATATAATGAAAACGAAATAATCATATGCAGTTGAACTTTCAATGATTCGAAGTTTCTTTTAGTGGGTCCTGCTAGTTGTAAACATTTAAGTGACTGACTTGGGCAGCCTTACCAGATTTCATTGCTATTCTGAAGCTGCTGGGTTCTCATTTTTTTAAAAAATGTCTTAAGTAAGGAAACAAAACAGACAAACACTAACAAACAGTATTCTAACAGATGAGAAGGTTCTCTCGGAAAGCCAATTTAGTTAATAAATGCTTTAGCAATTCTTAGAACTCTGTCTCTGGGGCCATCTTAAGCACAATCGAGGGTCTAACTATTAGGGCTTTTCTTGAAATGCCACTGAAAATGCATTAGGCCCAAAGAAAACCAAGATAACAAAGTTAATTGTCATCTGGAAAATGTTAATGTACAAGTTATTCCCCTAAAAAGGGGGCGGCGGGGGGGAAGCAAAGACTGTCAAGGCAGTGATTGTTCAAATGGTTTTATGGGAAGAAATTATTATTAGAACCGCAATCGCATGTTCAGCCTCCCTCTATTAAAGCACACCCGTTCCTGCTGAAATGGTGGTCAGGGGCCCACTCTTAACGCCTATCTCCCGCTGCATCATAGCTAACCTCTAGAACTTGCAGAAACACTGTTTTTATCAGAACCATACAGCAGTACTAATAATTATATAGCAAGTTTAAAATCTATATCTTAACAAAAGTTAAATATGCATAAATGCAACTTTCTTTAATTCTCTAGTGCTCTAAAACCATTCAACTTGGCTCTCAAGTTCCCATTTCTACTGAGAAAAAACTCATAACCTTGCTTCTCCAAGATTACTCAGTCACTTCTGGTTTGGAATTCAGCTTCTTGTGGGTTAACACTCAGTTGAAAATTGGAATATTCCATTTCCCTTCTTCTCTTTTACTCTTGTTTAAACCTGTTTCTAGGGAACTCATATATAGCTTTCTGGTAGAGGAGAAAGTCACCTGGTACATATGCCATCCCTTCCTCACTTGAGATACTACCACCTGGTCTTTGGATATGTTAAGCGCTGACTCCTGAAGGCTTAGATCCTTGTCATGGCCTCCAGTCACAAGTTTCACACACTTGCCCAGATGTTTCTCCCTTGGGAATTTCAGACAGTCTTACCTGTGTTTCTAGTCCCATAAGCTCTGCTACACACATACCCACCTTCCCATTAAAAAACAAAAAAAAGTAATCATCTTCTTTATCCTTTGCATCTTTAATATACGGTTTTCACATTGAGTGCAAGATTTCTCTCTGAAGTTTACAGTTTCCCAAGATTTTCCCTGGGAAACTTGACACAAATCCTTGCCCTTCTCAGATTCTGCTCAAACCATAGGAAGTTCTGTTATCCTCTTCTCCTCTCTGGGGCCCTGAGAGCCCCTTCTCAGAAACCCATGCAGGCTCTAAACCTTAGGCACAGCCCCTTAGAGCCTCCTATATATGCTTTTATGGTCAAAGAATTATCCACTCTTCCAATACTGAAAAACTTCTCTGACATCATCAAATCCCCATGCTTCCTAGCTCTGCAAGCTTTTTCCTCCTCCAAATAAGACATGGCTATTCAACAAAACCCAAGGCTTTGTAAATTCTTGTCTTGGCTTTTAAAAAGTGTAATTTAGAGTCAAACCTGAGCAATGCCTCCTTTATTCATGGCTATCATATTTACCTTCCCTGAGGGGGTAATTCATAAAATACTTTTGGAAGTAAGGTAAGGCAAAAAGTGTGGAAAATAACCAGGGGAAAATGTTTAGTAATATCCTACTATAGCAATATGATAATAATAGATTCAATGGCCACTTATTGAATAACAAGTGATGTGTTGACTACTTTATCAGTAATCAGAGAATCACACAATTAGAAAGACAGAATTTAAGCTCCGGTCTAAATGACTCTAAATTCCAAGATTTACAGCCATTTTATCAGACTTGCAGATGGAGCTTCTGGCCTCAGGGACACATTCACTCCATTCCTTTGGAGTCATTACAAAAGGCATTATCTGGGTATATCAGTTCTTTATCAGAAGAATTATGATAAAGAAGGATTCTAATATTTTCTCAAGATAGAACATATTGATGCTTTTCTCTCTCACTTCGTTTGCATCACTCCTTGTTCCCCTCTACATAACCTTACATTTTACTGTCTCCCCTGGTCAGTCCTTAGCATTTTTAATTCCACAACACTCCCCGCCTATACTCATTCTTTGTCATCCTCCATTGTACACCTCGGTTCCTTGTATCACCCTCTACCTCATTGGCTCACACTTTCTCCTCATGTGCCATTTCTAATTACTCATCAATATCAGTCAATTGCGTCTCTCAAAAACAGATCTTTTCCTTACCATTAATTGCAACCTCTTTGTCCAAGCCTCCTACACTACCCTCTTTCTTTCATTCTCTACTTCTCTATCTTATCCTTCACATTCCAACAGAATTATCTAAGTACAAATTTACTGTTCTATTTTTTAAAATACCTCCATTTTGCCTGCCAGAACAAGTCTAGACTTAGCTCAGAAAGCAACTGCCATCAAACGGTGAGCCACCTTACTTTTGTGGCATTGCCACCCCCATGGGATCTCAACATGCAGAGTTCTAGTTAGAATAAGATGTTAGTCTTTGGAATAACACAACTGTTGAGAATGAACCTAAGACAATGTAATCATGCATAATTCTCTGAGTTTTTTGGGGAAAATGAAGTAACCACAATGGTTAAGGGGAGGAGAAGATTAGCTATCCCCCTACCACTTTGATTCCACAATAAAAGGAAAGAAAGTTTGGACAAATTCTGCCACAAAAATATTTATTAGCAGACAGCCTTATCACTCAACTTATAAATCAGAAGTTCCAATTCTGTTGTATATGTGTATGTTTGTGTGCATATGTGAATCTGCATGTGTGCATACTTTTCAGAAACCTTGCAAGAAATTTTCTCCCAAGGCAAATATGGCAATACGTCAGTGGTAGGATTGAACTTACCTTCTGTTGACATCCAAAAATAGTTTT